GTTGATTAGAATATTTTATTGCATTTTATTAAATCAGTACAGGAATGCTAGAGGGAATTTAAGTTTCACTTTGGGAGTGAAATATTAGGTTAGAGGTTGCCTTCTCCACTTCTTATTAAAGCAAAAATTTTCTCTAAAACACTAATTAGATGAACTTCTTATTTTTGCTTAAACACCTCCACCTTTCCAGTGAATGCAAGCTCACATGCTTTGCAAGACAGCCCTTAACCCTTCTGGATAATTATGGATGATAGGAAATTCTTATATTGACCTGAAATCAGCCTAATTTATACTGGCCATTCTGGTCTCTGTAATTATATAAAGTAAATATTACTTCCTCTTCCACATGAAAGCTCTTCAGGTGTTTGAACAAACCTATCACCATGCTCCATGTTGTTACTGAACTATGATTATCTAGAATAAATTGCTTTGTTTCCTCTTCTAGATCCGTAACATCTTGCGTGCTTTCCCAAATATATTCAAATGATTAGTGCCCTTTAAAAGTGTCACTGCTTAGAGCTGATTAGAGAACTCTGGTGTGTTGGAACCATTACAGAGCACAGTGGAACTAGGCTCTTGCTCTGGACATCTGCTTCTAGCAAGAGTTTAGGATTATTTTAGCATCTTTCTTATCGCTATTTACTGTTTACTTATTTTGACTGGAACCCTCAGACCTTTTATATTTTATTTGCTTTTAAACATAACTTACCTATGTGCTTTATGTGCCTTTCAAAACATATTCAGGATTTAACTTTTAGTCATATTTGACATAAAAATTTATTCTATTTCAGAAAATCAGTATCCATTTTCAGTCTTGATTCTGGTATTCTGTGGACATTATTCATTCATTCCAGTTTCAGTCATCCACAGATTGGGCAGGCATGCAGTCTTGTCTTTGTGTCATAAACAAAAATGGTAAACATCCCATCTCTTGGTGCCAATCTCCCTCTACTTCTGCCTAGGCTTTAGTCACTCTGGCTTTTTTTTTTTTTTTTTTTTTTAACCTCAAAGTCACCATACTCCTTCCTATTTAGGCACTTTCTATAACCTCTGCCTGGAATGTCCTCCGCTTGCCATGCCTCTATGCCTCTCTTCTCTGGCTAACTCTGACTGATAGCAAATCAAATGTTTGCCCAAGGACTTCTTCCCTGTCACAAGACTAGGTCAAGTCCCCCTTTTATAGGCTTTCAGTACCGTATACTTGTTTGGCTTAGCACTTATTATTTTGAAATTATGTATTTATTGATGTGATTTTTGTCTCTTCCCCACTGAATCAGATGCTCCATGGTGGCAAGAACCCTGTTTCTTACACTCACTATTGTATCCCCAGAACACAGCACAGCGCCAGGCATATGGTGCTTGTTGAATTTAATTTTTTAAAAGGCCATGTAACAGTGGCTCCCTAACACCAGTGTACATCCTTTGGCTCCTGATGATTTTTTCACACATCTGGATTAGAACAAGAAAAATAAGGACCATAGTGTTACTGTATGTAGTATACGTCAGTGTGAAATTACTGCCTTCTTGGGAAGGACTTTTATTCTAGTATTATATCCTTCTATTTCCTAGGTTGTAAGTTATTTAAATTTTTGTTAAGTTTTAGGGATTTTTTCATTTATTTTTGGAAACTATCCTTACTTAGAATAGAAATAAATGTGCAACACCATGGTGCTTTGAGACTTTATTAGACTATGAAATCCAGAAATTACTAATGTTGAGTACTCTAGAGACCTCCTCTAAGCTAAAATCTTTGTTTCTCTTTGAATACGATTACTATGAATCCATTTGGCTATATTTAAAGTATATAATTTTGCCTTCAGAGATGTTTTTTTAGTGGCCTGGATCTTCCTCAACAACTTCCTTTCATTCATCTCTGTAATACATATTTATCATTCCAAGTAGGCTCAGATTCAAAACAGTAATTGTTGAGTTTTTCTCTTTAGAACAGTTGTACTTTACCTATATTTAATGTGACTAAAAGAATAAACCTCAAATATAACACATTAAATTTGAATACAAAGCAAATTTTGCATATTTATGGTTACTGAGAACTCTTATTGTAAATGATTTTATATTTTAAAGTTATATATTTTATATTTTAGAGTTATAACTTTTCATTTTTTTGATTAAATGATAAAGCAGGTTTCCTGACAAAATTTTTACTATAAATTGTTACTGTTTCTCACCTGCTTTATATGATATGAGTGTTAATTCAGGTGAGGTAAAATGATAGTCTTTGACGTGTAAATAAAATGGAATTTCTTGTAGGAGAGGGGAGGATCAGATTCTTTTTAATTTTAATGTTTTTTTCTTTTTCTAACTTGATTTTTTAAAAATCTAATATTAGCTTTGTGGCTTTATTAATTTAACTTCTCTGTGCTTGTTTCCTTAGCTATCTTGTCTCTTCATCTGTGAAATGGTTATCATGAGGATTTAAATGACTAAATTCATGAATACATATAAAGTACTTAGAAGATTGTGTTACACAGTAGAAGTGGTGAACGAATATTAGTTGATTTTACTATTATTAGTAGTGGTATTTGTATTGAATTGGGATTTCCTTATTCAGCTGTAGAATATATCAGGATACATAAATACTAAAAATTTATCTTATTTTCTATTTTAACCATATCTCAGTGCTTAATATTTTGATAAATCATTATTTACCAAAGGAGAAAAAACTGTCTAGAATAAACACATCCAACTCTTCTCTAGCCACAATACATAGAATTATATCCTTCAAGACTTCAGAGTGATTATTAAATAAATGTTTTGTGATTAAGTTTTCAGTCAATTCAGTAACTTATTGATCTACATTGATAGTAGATTATTAAAGTAGTCATCCAGCCTTTTAACTAAAATATCACCTTCATATTTAGAAAACAAGTTATATAAATTCTAAATTAAAAATACCTAGAGGAGGGACTTCCCTGGTGGCACAGTGGTTAAGAATCCGCCAGCCATTGCGGGGGACATGGGTTCAAGCCCTCGCCCGGGAAGATCCCACATGCCCTGGAGCACCTAAGCCCGTGTGCCACAGCTCTTGAACCTGCGCTCTAGAGCTCATGAGCCACAACTACTGAGCCTGCGTGCCACGACTGCTGAAGCCCGTGTGCCTAGAACCCATGCTCCACAACAAGAGAAGCCACCACAATGAGAAACCCATGCACTGCAATGAAGAGTAGCCCCCGCTCGCCACAACTAGAGAAAGCCTGCATGCAGCAACAAAGACCCAATGCAGCCAAAAATAATTAATTAATTAATTAATTAATTAAAAAATAAATACCGGGCTTCCCTGGTGGCGCAGTGGTTGAGAGTCCACCTGCCGATGCAGGGGACGCGGGTTCGTGCCCTGGTCCGGGAAGATCCCACATGCTGCGGAGTGGCTAGGCCTGTGAGCCATGGCCGCTGAGCCTGCGCATCCGGAGACTGTGCTCCGCAACGGGAGAGGCCACAACAGTGAGAGGCCCGTGTACCGCAAAATAAATAAATAAATAAATACCTAGAGGAGTTAAAAAGCAAAAGCACTTTTTTTTCCTAAGCAGAAAATGTAACAGTTGAATTAGCTAAAAAGTCTGTTTAATTTACATATATTTTACAATTAAAATTAAGTTGTACATTTATAAATAAAGTAATTCTACAATAAATTTTTTAGCTGATCTATTTATATCACGATTATACGTCACAGTATATCATAGCGTTAAAGAATATAAGCACTAGACTCTAAAAAACATGAGTTCAAATTTCACTTCAGCCATTTACCAATTGTTTGTTTTTCAGATAAATTTATTATTTAGTTTTAGCTTTGTTGGGTCTTCATTGCTGTGCGCGGGCTTTCCTTCTAGTTGCGGCGAACGGGGGCTACTCTTTGTTGCGGTGCACAGGCTTCTCATTGCGGTGGCTTCTCTTGTTGCGGAGCACGGGCTCTAGGTGCACGGACTTCAGTAGTTGTGGCATGCAGGTCTCAGTAGTTGTGGCTTGCCGGCTCTAGAGCACAGGCTCAGTAGTTGTGGCACACAGGCTTAGTTGCTCCGCAGCATGTGGGATCTTCCCAGACCAGGGCTTCCTGCATTGGCAAGCGGATTCTTAACCACTGTGCCACCAGGGAAGTGCTACCAGCTGTTTAACGTTTTTGGGGGGGCTGCATTGGGTCTTCTTTGCTGTGCGTGGGCTTTCTCTAGTTGTGGCGAGCAGAGGTTACTCTTCGTTGTGGTGCGCGGGCTTCTCATCGCAGTGGCTTCTCTTGTTGCACAGTATGGGCTCTAGGCGTGCAGATGCAGACTTCAGTAGTTGCAGTCCCTGGCCCCTAGAGTGTGCAAGCTTCAGTAGTTGCGGTTCATGGACTCAGTAGTTATGGCATGCAGGCTCAGTAGTTGTGGCGTACAGGTTTAGTTGCTCCTTGGCATGTGGGATCTTCCTGGACCAGGGATCGAACCCATGTCTCCTGAATTGGCAGGCGGATTCTTAACCACTGCACCACCAGGGGAGTCCCCAGCTGTTTAACTTTAGATAAGTCACTCAACTCTATTTCCTTATCTGTCAACTAGGGATATAATAATACCTACCTCTTAGGGTTATTGGAAGAAATAAATGAGATAATATATGAAAGCCCTTAGTTTGGAGCCTGACATGGTAAACAGTCAGGAAATGTTCTTAGGAAAATTATATGAGGTAAACAAACTTCCTATTAAATACAATCACTTAAATGCCTCTGTGTGTGTGTGTGTAATGGTTTTTAACTTGGCAAAATTATAGGAATTCACCCTCACAATAAGATAAATGAATCCTGTATTCTCATTTACCTATATGATCTTTAAAAAATAGAACTGTAAATCTTTACTTTAAAATATAGTTGTTTAAATAAATTCCACCTTAGGCTCAGGTAAGTCTGTTGAGATCTCACTTAAAAGTATTCCTGTTTTTCTTTATTTTCTTGAAGGGATGGGTATGTTGCCATTTTTATATTACATGTAAAAGTAACTTTTATGTATATTTGACAGAAACGATATGAAGCAACACTCTTTTTGGATTTCATAAGACATCATTTCATCATGGGACAGCAACTTTCAGATCAGACGCAGCTGGTTCTTAACAAGTTACCAGAAAAAGTAGCAAAACATGTCACATTGGTTCGAGAAAGTGGCTCCTTAACTTATGAAGAATTTCTTGGAAGAGTAGCAGAACTTAATGATGTGTAAGACTTGCTCTTTTTCATTTCATTTTCTCCCCCCTGACATATTGCCCCAGTGTTGTGACTGTCTGAGAGATAACCACACGTATTGGTTGGTGAGAGAATGTTTTCAGCAGCAGTTAGCAAATATTTATTGAGTACTATAAGACTTTCTATGTAGCTATCTAAAAATATGTCATAGGACTAAAAGAACAGAAGGAACTTAAAACTGAATTTTGAACACAGGCATGTAAATTGACCCTTGTTTGAAAGCACTGAAGGAGGTGCATAACAGAAGAGAATATACCAGTTAGTCATCTAGAGAAAGGCGCCTAGGATAGTCAAAGGGCACTTCAGGTTTCTGAATGTCAACCAATTCATCTAGTTAATAAATAAATCTTCTGTGTTTGTTCATTGAACCATTATTTTGCCAGAGAAATATATATATATATATATATATATATATGGTAATAATTCATTTGTCATCACTGAAGAATAAGATATTTTGTTTATAAATATTTTCTAATTAGCTATCATGTTTACATCTCTACTTAACTCTTGAATAGATTTCTAAGATGGAGTATAAACTTCTCTGCCTCCTTAGCACATCCAATAGAACAGCCTTCTCTTTGTGAATTATTCTTTATTAAATCAATTTTTATACTGATCTGTATAGAAGCTATTAAAATATACCGAGCTCTGTCCCTGAATGACCCCGGATTGTTATACTTTTAAAATATTCCATTTTTGTTTGTGTGTTCTCCCTTAGTGACAGGAGAGCAGATGTCACTTCTTTCTATTAAGTCTTCCTCTAGCAGCACCCATATCTGACTCTCTTTGTATATGTATCTTCTGTCTCCCTGGGGGTATAGTTATAACTTATTGGCATTGCCTTTTAAATGAGATCTTAAAGGTTCTTTCTTTAGTCTATTCAACTTCACTGAGCCCATAGTATGTGCAAGGCACTCTGCTGACAGACATTTTAACTGAGGCCTAAAGTGATTACCCAAGTATCTATGGCAGATCCAGCTTTCCCCAAGTCTGAAGATCTTTCCACTATCCCATATTACCTCTCCTTAAACCCCAAAAAGGCCAAATAAAATCACCAAGCAGTTTGGAACCACTTGGTATATATAAATTTATATTATAGTCACTATTAATAGTTTAGAGTAAAATACATGAATGTACTCCTTAAGCTTTGCAATAACTATATTGGATAAGAGACATATTATACTTGGCCATTTAGAACACATTAGATAAAGAGAAGGAAATGCAGTCTTTTTATGGACATGGCTGGAGTGTCCTGTTATTAGCCAGTCATGAAGAATAAAGCATTCTTAACTCTTAAAAGTTATCTTAGAAGATCATTTCTTTTAAGAACACTGGATTTCACTCATTAAAAACAGACAAACCAAAAAGAAGCCCTGTATGGATATATGGATGGATTCTGTGTGTGTGTATATATATATATATATATATATATATATATATATATATATATATATATATATATATGCGTAGAAAATGAACTGGAAAGATATACACAGCTCTCTGGGGAGGTGATGGAAAAGGGGAGCAGAGAAGGGAGATTTTACCTTTTACTGTGTGTATATTTGTGTATTGTCTGATCTTTTATAGTAAAAATGTAATCATGGTTTTTAAAACTCTAGCATTTTACTTTTTTTTTTTTTTAAAGATCATCCAAATGGTAACATTTGAGGCATTACTTCTGAGACTGTATTCTTAAGGAATAAAATTTGATTGAGAATTTAATAGTATCATAAGAGTGGAATTTTTATGTTTATTGTGTCAACTTTTTTGAAGAGTAATCAATGACATTTGCCATCCCTTTAGAGTCTTAGAACTTATATACAAAAAAAACCTAGTCTATTATGTGAAATTTTGTTTTTTGGCCTAAAGATACTGGATAAAATGTGTCCTATGAAAACATCCTCAAGCTAAGCTTACTGTGTAATATAGAGGTGATGGTAAAAGAGTATCTCCCTTTTATTTATTAGCACAGAATGTTTCTGACTGGATTTGCTTCTTAAAACCAATTCCCCTGGGTCAGAGTTGGAATTTCACAAGTTCAGTGCTGTCTGAGAACTATAAAGTTAAACCTACACAAAAGACGCATGGCTTGATAGCTAGAAAACAGAACTGGGAACTGGCAGTACTACTTTCACTGGCAGACTTTGTTACCTAGGGCTAGTTACTTAATTTTCAGTGGCCTCAATTTATTTAGCTGTAAGTTTCTTAGTTCTGACTGTGATATCCCCACTGGTGCTCAGAGAGAAATGTGAGTAATGATAAAAGGGAGCTGCAATACTTATGTCTTTGAACTGATTTAAATTGGCATTGATGCCCGATATTGAGTTATCCTAAAAAGTGTTATATTTTTATGTTTGTATCCTGTTGCTTTCTAAATAGAATTACTCTGCTAGGGGAGGACAGTAAAGTTACATAAGCATCTCAAAATCATTTGCTTCATCCAGTTTTAAATTATCTGTAAAAATTGTCTTCAAAGAGGTATATAAGTGTTGTTGCTTAAGGAAGGACTCAACCAAGATCAAGATTTTTTCACACTTTATATACATCTGAGGCACTAGTCAAAATATGGATAAATGAAACCAGCTAAATTTTTTCTTTAAATACCTGATTCCTTGCACATGTTTTTCCTAGCTGTCTTTGTTAGAAATTTAAAGACCATTGAGATATAGATATGAAAAAAATAGATTTATAAATATCATTCCACTATGCTTTCCACCTTGAAAATTAAATTGTATGTTTATAGTCAAAACATTCTCTATCCCTATATTTTAAAAATCTAATTATTACAATCACCATTATTGTTATTTGTCTTTCTGTGTTTTCTTCACATTTTCTCCTCTGTCTTAAGCTTTCTTGAATCTGGTTTCGTAGCTCCAATATTTTACATGACTTTTCATAAAATTAACCAATGTGTTTACCTCTTTTCAGAACTGCTAAAGTGGCTTCTGGCCAGGAAAAACATCTTCTCTTTGAGGTACAACCTGGGTCTGATTCCTCTGCCTTTTGGAAAGTGGTTGTACGAGTAGTCTGTACCAAGGTGAGAGTGATAGAGATTTCCAACTCTGAGCTTAAACTATTTTGGTGGTTAGAACCACATTTAATAGTATAATATAATACAGTGGAAATAAATGTTTATAATTTGGTTGTTATTAACATTTATTTGTAAAACCATATAAAACAGTTTTGATACTATTTTTGCCTTCCAGGTTAACTGTTTGAATTTCACTGGTTGTATAATTGCCATATAGCAGAGATTTATTTTTTAATTTAATTTATTTATTTTTGGCTGTGTTGGGTCTTCGTAGCTGCATGCGGGCTTTCTCTAGTTGCGGCAAGCAGGGGCCACTCTTTGTTGCAGTGCAAGGGCTTCTAACTGCGGTGGCCTCTCCTGCTGTGGAGCACTGGCACTAGGCGCTCGGGCTTCAGCAGTTGCAGCATGCGGTCTCAGTAGTTGTGGCATACAGGCTTAGTTGCTTCACGGCATGTGGGATCTTCCCAGACCAGGTATTGAACCTGTGTCCCCTGCACTGGCAGGTGGATTCTTAACCATTGCCCCACCAGGGAAGCCCCAGAAGAGGTTTTTATAATCAAGGAAAGTGGTAGTAAACGTTCATCCTTATCTTGTACCTTTCTTTTTGGAATTTAACTGACTGTGGAATCCTAAGGTAACACCCTACTTAGCTCTAAGATGATTTCTTAAAAATTAAGTGTCTCTTAGTTCATCTTTAAATTTTAGATAATAGAGTATATCAACTGTGCTAAAAAATATGATGGCAGCTGTCATAGAGTATTAGGAAGCCTCATCCACTAATGGGTAGATTAGAATATGTGGTTCTTAACCTTTTTGAGGCCATAGAACTTTTGGTGAAATTGAAGGCATGAATTTTATTAAGCTTCCTCCTATCCCAACCCCTGCTCTAAAACACAATAAAATCATCCATATGCATATAAACAATAAGTTGGGCATTCACGAATGCCTTTATTTCAACTCCTGATCAATCCATGAAGAACTCCTGGGTAAGGAGATTTTTTTTCTTTTGTATCATGGACCCTGGATGTTACCCAAATAATATGTCACATTTCCCCAGTGGGTTGGTTGCCACTACTATGCTATAAGTGGAGTAGGATTGATTGTGTTTAGTTGATCGAATTTGAAGGTCTAATTATTTAAGTAATAAAAGAACTTTAAAAAGGATTAGAGGAACAAAGACAGAGAGATCTTAATTCCAGACTTGGCTAAGTGCCTGAAGTTGAATGGTGCCTGTTAAAGTTTACAGTTGATTTAGAGAAAATATATAGTATAGTTTAATACCACTCAGCTGGGTCTATCAACACTGAACATTTGCTTATTGATTTTTTTTAAGTCCAAATGTTAAAAAGCACTTAACAGCTGCCAGAGAACCATCATTCAAAAATTTTTTGCATTATTCATGACAGAGGTAGTTAATGTGATACTAGTGTGGTGTGGGTAGCAGTGTAACTTTATATAGTGTATAATATGTCACAAATCATAGTAACAGAATACACACTGAAATACAGCTTGATCCAAGATCACATTTTGTTATTTATACTTAGATTACTGGGCTCAAAAACTGTATACCAGGGCTTCCCTGGTGGTGCAGTGGTTAAGAACCCCCTGCCAGTGCAGGGGACATGGGTTCAAGCCCTGGTCCAGGAAGATCCCACATGCCGCGGAGCAACTAAGCCCGTGCACCACAACTACTGAGCCTGTGCTCTACAGCCCGTACACCACAACTACTGAAGCCCGCACGCCTAGAGCCCGTGCTCCACAATAAGAGAAGCCACCACAAGGAGAAGCCCACGCACCACAACGAAGAGTAGCCCCTGCTCACCACAACTAGAGAAGGCCCGCACGCAGCAACGAAGACCCCACACAGCCAAAAATAAAAAACAAATAAATAAATAAATTTATTTTTTAAAAACTGTATACCAAACACATATTTTTCCATTTTCTGTTTGTTTTGGGGTTTATATTATATTAAGTTCATAAGCGGTTTTTTACAGTGTTATAAATATGCATACTCCCAAAAGAACTTTGGGAATCTGCAACTTTTGAATTTGCAAAGGAATAAGGTAAAGAAGAAATGAAGAACTGTGCTTAAAACATGTAAAACCATTCAAATAGACTAAGTAAATCCCATACAGTACTCCCATCATCTTCGAGTTTACACTGCACATAATCTTTCAGGACTATTTGAAAGTCAGCTTCAGAGGACACATGGGTGAATTTATAAGAACTCTAGTGACAAAGGTCATTTCTGAGAACTGTGCATTCTTTCTCCTTTTCTTGTATTCTCTTCCACAGTAACCATCCAGCTGATCTTTTCAGTTTTACCTCTACTAGGTTTCACTTGAGTTTACTTGTAACACAAAGTTCACACTCTCAAGGAGACTGTAAGTAATGCTCAGGCCCCTCTTCCCATCCAGATTACTTTAGATTCTGTGATTAATCTCCACACCTTCAGACTCTTCTCCTAGTTCCAATTTATTTATTTATTTATTTATTTTTGTAGATCTTTATTGGAGTATAATTGCTTCACAATACTGTTAGTTTCTGTTGCACAACAAAGCAAATCAGCCATATGCATACACATGTCCCCATATCTCCTTTCTCTTGAGCCTCCCTCCCATCCTCCCTATCCCACCCCCGTAGGTCATCACAAAGCACCCAGCCGATCTCCCTGTGCTATGCTGCTGCTTCCCACCAGCCAACTGTTTTACATTCAGTAGTGTATATATGTTGATGCTACTCTCTCTTCGCCCCAGCTTCGCCCTCCCACCCCATTTCCTCAAGTCCATATTCTGTGTCTACCTCTTTATTCCTGCCCTGCAACTAGGTTCATCAGTACCTTTTTTTTTTTTAGATTCCATATATATGCGTAGCATATGGTATTTGTTTTTCTCTTTCTAACTTATTTCATTCTGTATGACAGACTCTAGGTCCATCCACCTCACTACAAATAACTCAATTTCGTTTCTTTTTATGGCTGAGTAATATTCCATTGTATATATGTGCCACATCTTCTTTATCCATTCATCTATCAATGTACATTTAGGTTGATTCCATGTCCTGGCTATTGTAATTAGAGCTGCAGTGAACATTATGGTACGTGTCTCTTTTTTTTTTTTTTTTTTTTTTTGCAGTACGCGGGCCTCTCACTGTTGTGGCCTCTCCCATTGTGGAGCACAGGCTCCGGACGCGCAGGCTCAGCGGCCCTGGCTCATGGGCCCAGCCGCTCCATGGCATGTGGGATCTTCCCGGACCAGGGCATGAACCCGTGTCCCCTGCATTGGCAGGCAGACTCTCAACCACTGCGCCACCAGGGAAGCCCCCATGTCGCTTTTTGAATTATGGTTTTCTCAGGGTACACGCTCAGTAATGGGATTGCTGGGTCACATGGTAGTTCTATTTTTAGCTTTTTAAGGAACCTCCATACTGTTTTCCATAGTGGTTGTATCAATTTACATTCCCACCAACAGTGCAGGAAGGTTCCCTTTTCATCACACCCTTTTCAGCATTTATTGTTTCTAGATTTTTTGATAATGGCCATTCTGACTGGCGTGAGGTGATACCTCATTGTAGTTTTGATTTGCATTTCTCTAATAATTAGTGATGTTGAGCATCTTTTCATGTGCCTCTTGGCTATCTGTATGTCTGCCTTGGTGAAATGTCTATTTAGGTCTTCTGCCCATTTTTTAACTGGATTGTTTGTTTTTTGATATTGAGCTCCATGAGCTGTTTGTATATTTTGGAGATTAATCCTTTGTCTGTTGTTTCGTTGGCAAATATTTTCTCCCATTCTGAGTGTTGTCTTTTTGTCTTGTTTATGGTTTCCTTTGCTGTGCAAAAGCTTTAAGGTTAATTAAGTCCCATTTGTTTATTTTTGTTTTTATTTCCATTACTCTAGGAGGTGGGTCAAAAAAGATCTTGCTGTGGCTTATGTCAAAGAGTGTTTTCCCTGTGTTTTCCTCTAAGAGGTTTATAGTGTCTGGTCTTAAATTTAAGGCTTTAATCCATTTGGAGTTTATTTTTGTGTATGGTGTTAGGTAGTATTCTAATTTCATTCTTTTTTTTTTTTTCTGTACGTGGGCCTCTCACTGTTGTGGCCTCTCCCGCTGCGGGGCACAGGCTCTGGACGCGCAAGCTCAGTGGCCATGGCTTACGGGCCCAGCCACTCGGCGGCATGTGGGATCTTCCCGGACCGGAGCACGAACCCACGTCCCCTGCATCGGCAGGCGGACTGTCAACCACTGCGCCACCAGGGAAGCCCTCTAATTTCATTCTTTTACATGTAGCTGTCCAGTTTTCCCAGCCCCACTTATTGAAGAGGCTATCTATTCTCCACTCTATGTTCTTGCCTCCTTGTCGTAAATTAGGTGCCCATATGTGCATGGGTTTATCTCTGGGCATTCTATCTTGTACCATTGATCTATATTTCTGTTTTTGTGCCACTACCATACTGTCTTTATTACTGTAGGTTTGTGGTATAGTTTGAAATCTGGAAGCCTGATTCCTCCAACTCCGTTTTTCTTTCTCAAGATTGCTTTGGCTATTTGGGGTCTTTTGTGTTTCCATATGAATTGTAAAATTTTTTGTTCTAATTCTGTGAAGAATGCCATTGGTAGTTTGTTAGGGATTGCATTGAATCTGTAGATTGCTTTGGGTAGTATAGCCATTTTCACATTATTGATTCTTTCAATCCAAGAACATGGTGTATTCCTCCATCTGTTTATGTCATCTTTGATTTCTTTCATCAGTGTTTTATAGTTTTCTTAATACAAGTCTTTCACCTCCTTAGGCAGCTTTATTCCTAGGTATTTTATTTTTGTTGCAATGATAAATGGGAGTGTTTCCTTAATTTCTCTTTCTGATTTTTCATTGTCGGTGTATAAGAATGCCAGAGATTTCTGTGCATTAATTTTGTATCCTGCAACCTTAGCAAATTCATTGATTAATTCTTGCAGTTTTCTGGTGGCATCTTTAGGATTTTCTATGTATAGTATCATGTCATCTGC